TTGTTTTCTCTCCTTAATAGTATATTTTTCCTATTCTCTAAGAATTGGTATCTTAGTGGCTTTATCGCCTTGTTTGGGTGAAATGAAAAGCAAAAAAAAAAAAAAAAATTTGTAGAAGCTCTTCTTACTTTTTCAAGTATAAATTAAATTTTCTACCAAAACCAAGAACAAAAATGTTTTTGTTTCGTCTTTTGGGATCAATTTTCCCTCGACATGATAATTAAAAAAAAAGTCTTCTTTCGCATTACTTTTTTTTTAACATTAAGTAGATTTTTATTTCCATAGTTTCTTTTTGGAGTATTTTTCATAATATGAGTCTCGTTCACGATCTGAGTTAGATCTAAGGGAGATAATTAATGTGTGTAAAAATTGTTTGAAACGCTAAAACCGACTATATCCAGTATTGTTTGTGAAAGTAAAATCAAAACATTTGGAAAATACAAATTTTGATCTGATGTCTTCAAGAATCAAATATTCAAATTATTACGTTGTTCAGAAAAAAAAAGTTACTTTAATTTTCTTACCTGGGACATTTTTCCTTGTATGGGTGAAGATTTAATTTTTTTTCTTTTTACTGTTTAAGATGGACGAAAACCATTTCTGTTTATAAGACAACGGGATAAGCTTTTAAATAAATACACAAAAATAAAATAATTCACTGTTGCCAAAGCTAAACGAAGCAAAGCCTCCAAGGGAAATAATTCAACGGTGACGAATGAATGTAGTTCCTCAGTACAAATTGGCCGAGGCTTCACACCAACATTGCAAAGAGCGGATTGACTTCAGTAATAATAATCATTTGTCGCCAAACGAGATACGATATAGTCGATTTACTCTTTAATTTAATTTTTTTTTCCATCTGTACTCAGCAAACCAAGATTTTCGGATGTGTAGCGCATCTATGGAGGCTGCGTGAATAAATGTTTCTCTATAAATAAAACGAGTAACATTAACAATGTAGTGACTACTACTACGTTTGCCACGCCTACATTTTCTCAACTGTGATTGGTTAAATAATAAATACTGATTACCACAGGACAATTTACTGATCGCATTCACCACACTGAATTTTTCCTACCGTTAATTTCACAAAAATGCTTTTGTTATAAAATCACCGATCGGTTAATTTTTCATCCAATCAGATATTTTTTGTGTTCTTTCAAAATTCTCCCGCCTTTGTTCCTGGATCCTACCGGTAGTAATAAAAGTGACGTTTTGTTTAAAAAATAGACAGAAGTATTCTGCAACTCACACGCGTCTTCACAGACTATTCATTCCACTCACTGCGCACACACAGACACAGAACTTGATATTACATTTCCCCATCAGTTCTCTGTGAAAAAGCCAAGTTACAAACAACACTGTTAGTTGTAAAAATAACACACAACTGAATTAACTATGGAGGCTGTGTGAATAAATGTTACGCTGTAAAAACAAGTAACAACATTAACATTAACAATGTAGTGACTACTACTACGTTTGCCACGCCTACATTTTTCTCAACTGTGATTGGTTAAATAATAAATACTGATTACCACAGGAAAATTTACTGATCGCAGTCACCACACTGAATTTTTCCTACCGTTAATTTCACAAACATGCTTTTGTTATAAAATCACCGATCGTTTAATTTTTCATCCAATCATATATTTTCTGTGTTCTTTCAAAATTCTCCCGCCTTTGTTCCTGGAGCCTAAATAATAAAGCCTAAAGCCTAGTAATAAAAGTGACGTTTCGTTCCAAAAATAGACAGAAGAATTCTGCAACTCACACGCTTCTACACAGACTATTCATTCCACTCACTGCGCACACACAGACACAGAACTTGAATTACATTTCACCATCAGTTCTCTGTGAAGAAGCCAAGTTACAAACAACACTGTGAGTTATACAAATAACACACAACTGAATTAACTGTATGTTCTTCTGAATGCAACATTCTATTTCAACATAGAACTTTAAACATTCTATTCAAGAAACTTCCTTAATTACATTTTATCTTATTCAAGCTAACAGATAAAGGGAAACTACTTTTTTCTCTTTAATATTCACACATTACAAAAATTGTTTTGTATTTGTTGATTTTAATATATATTTTATCGTTGAAATAAAAATCGGTTTTTTATTGTTTTTCCTTGATTCAATAATAATGTATAAATGTTAAATGTCCTTCAACACGCAGCCACATTAATCATTTACAATAACATCCACAAACAGAAATTTGAATAAAAAATCAAATATTCAATTACGACAAAAAGGATATGCTTGGAACAAAAAATATATTTTTTGTATGCAGAATATTACAATTTTGTTTTGTAAAGATGTGTGCAAAAGCTTGATCAGAGTATTTTTAAAGAGAAAAGTTCTTGTTGGTTTGGAAATGTTTTGTATGTTTGTAATGTAGTTTGGAAAATTTCGTACGTACGTGCATGTGTGCGTGTGTGAATATGTTTTCAGCGTTTCGACCGCAATGGGGTCGTAATGTAGTTTTCTTTAAGGTTACATTTTCTTAAGCAAATGAAATCAAGAAAGAAGAGAACAGAGAAAGAGAACGAACTCGTGTCTGGTAATTATAATTAATGTAACCACGTGACAGGCCCCTGGAAAAAGTGCGGGGAAAACTTGACTTGGTCACGTGCTGTAAAAAAATTTTGTACGTGGGTGGATTGCAACGCCCACTTCTGTGTTTATTGACTAATTAGAAGTTGAGATTTTCTGAAAATATGTATGAAGCTGGGTAAGCTCTTTGATCCACTTTTTGCACAGATTTGTACGAAATTCAACATTGATAAGAAAGTGGTATCGGGGTGCTAAAGATGTTTTACCTGATTCCCGATAGCAGGGCGGAATATATTCAAGTCAAATTTTGACATTTTTCGATAGATTGGTCCGCTTGTCATTTATCAGATTCGAAAAATATTGATATCTTGACAAACATGGAACTTTGTGCCCACAAAAAAAAAAAAAAAAAAAAACTTGAAAAAACAAAAAACGGTGTTTGAAAAGGACTTTTTTTTCCATTGAAAACGTTTAATACTTTCACTCCCTCGGCAATGTTTATTTACACAACAATATTTATTATTTATTTACGAATTTAATAAATAACTATAAAAACATTTTTTTATTTATAATTTTATTTCAATGAGTTATAAAACAAAATTTGAACAAATATGGGTTTCTGGACATAATCTCAGATTATTTTGTAGCGGAAAAACACAATTTTAAACACATAGAAATAATAAATTAAAGCCAAATTTACACAATTATTAGAAAACATCTCTCTAACATATTTTGTTTCCAGAGAGAATTTTATACCGCTAAGACATAGACAAAAACTATATATACATATATACTAGTGCCCCACACGGAGAATAATATATTATATATATCTACACAGCAAAGCAGAGTACAAAGAGAAACAAAATGGAAATGCCTTACATATAATATAGAGATACTCCCGTGTCTGGAGAAGCCATGTTTAGGACTCCACATTCAAGTAGGACGGATTCATCTATGTCCCAGACGAGGAAATATTCCATGAACGGAAAACAGCGAGTCTTGGGTATTCTCAAATTGAATATTACGAGGTGGAGTTTCATTCTATGCCTGGAAAATATATATTCCCATAGAGAAATGGCACCATAGACTTGTAAGCTTCTGGGAGAAGATTCAGCCTCTCCCGGGCATGGAGTGGGGAATGGGAACTAAAGAAAGCAACTTTTTGGCTGCTGTAAACGAACTGAATTTGACTGCCACTTTCGTCATCAAGCAGGCGTAACGTGAGCCATGTGACAATTCCACCAAAGGTAGATAAGCACCTTCTGTATACCTACAGCGTGTTGGTGTATGGTAGGTAGGTGTTTGTTCAATCAAAGAAGAAGCATACAAAAACTTGGGTTCCTACTATAGAGCGTTTATTCTCCTTTTTACATCTCAATAGTAGGGGAACAAAATTCTCAATGTTTCTTGGGTGTGCCTGTTTTCTCTTTCAAGTCCATAAGTTAGGGTAATTAAGAATAAGCATTTTTAGTATGGTCGAGCATAAGTCAGCTTTGCGCTGAGTTGGAACGACCAAAGGAAGGTTATACTTACTTCATCAGTAGTTATAATGGTTGAGCTCAATCAACCGTGCAGTGAGTTGGAACGACTGAAGAAAGGGTTGATTTACTTCATAGGTGGAGGTTTTGGAAGACGCGTGCCAACGCCATGGGTTAGAAGGTGGAAAAGGAGATTAGTCGTTAGTGAATCTGGGAAGTGAACATGCCCCAGCAGGAACGTAATTTCCACATCGTGCTAATATCTTGGAGCCAGAGGGAGAAAGATAGAGATGGAGGAAAATGTCCGTTTTTTTTTATCGATTTAAACAGCGCCGTCTAACGGCATTTGACGAAGTCAAGTGAAGTAGTAACATCTCCGGTTACTTTATTACTAGGATCATAGGAAAATGTATTTCTTTTCCTTTTTTTTTTTAATTATTATTCATTATTATTATGTTATTTATTGATTTTATTTCATTTTTCCGCAGTCATAAGCGGAGGGAACAACTGAGAGAGATGTGGTATATGATTCTTGTAATAATTTATTGTTCCCACGAAACGTCGAAGTTGATAATGAATGGAATCAAGTTTTCTTTAATTGGTGAAATTTAATGCTCGTCTATCATGAGTCCAAGGTAGTTGGGTTCTTCGGCTCCTTGAATGCACCTTTCAAGGTTTCACGCAGATACCATACTTTAGTAGCTTTGTAAAAACAGATTGAAAATGTTGAATATGTTCGCTTTTCGTTTCGCTAGCTATTAGTACACCATCCACAGAAGCGATAACAAACGGAAGGCCACGAAAAATCTCGGCCATGTGTGACACTGTGGCTGATGCGCTTCGATTTATTTTTTAGTGATTAGGTCAAATACTTAACTGAAGCAGAATTGATTAAATGACATTATCAGTACCTGAAGCGAACCCCTGTTATCTACTTAAATTTTTAATCGGCACGTAGCAGATATGCTATTGTTTAGGCAGTGTGACCGCGTATCTAAAAGCGGGCTTCTCAGAAAGAAGATGGTATTTATCAATCCACCCACGGGGACCGAATGTGGCACGAGGCCTTTTTAACGTGGGTATCTCTGAGCCCGTAGGACCAGCCAAAAATAAATAACCATCCAAACCCGCCGAGGCGGGCCAGTTCCGTCAACCTCCCCCAACGAAACCCTACCCTTCGGCGGAGCTTCGTCCGGGTTCCTCTCTGCAAGCTGAGAGTTCAACAGACACCTGACCCGGCAGCTCACAAAGCGCAGATACTACACTTTGATCCTAGCCACCGGGCCGAGCGGGCATTCTTTTTAGATCTTTTTTTTTTCTCAGAAAGAAGATTGGTTTGATTTGGTTTGGTTTGTTTTACGGCATATCAACACCTCAATAGGTTATTTAATGCCGACAACTTTTTTTTTTCCTGGTAATATTTTGTTTTATCAAAAATCTATTTCTGGTAATATTTTTTCCTCAAAAATGTATAGCTTGCAAAATTAATACGGCAGCATAAATACTATTAAATATAAAAATTCGAGTTTCTACCATTTACATATGCGCAATCGCCAAAAACACGAAAATAACCGACTTTAAATTAATAACGACACAGCCTTAAAAGACCCCATCATACTGTGTGCACGAGAAAACATAATTCAGTGTACAAAATTATAATTTCTATTTGTATATATATTTATATACATGCACATTTTGCATATATATATATATATATATATATATATATATAATTATTTATTTAAGAATATGATTCCATCGCTACATAAGAGTTCTTATGTTTCAAAACAAGAGCCGAAATTTTCAATATAATTATTTGAATTAAATTGAAGTAAAGTACCAAGCTCTGTTCCATCTTCAAGCGAATTTTTTTTTGAATAACTAATTCTTGAAATTTACGCGTTTTATAAGCATATTCATTATTAAAATTAAAATTTCTATGGTAATGGCTAAAGCAATTATTTAAAAAAAAAAGGGGCGTAAGGGTTAATAATTTGTATCAATATCTCAGTTACATTCAAAGAGGTCAAGTCAGGGTAAGGTTGGGGTGTATAAATTTAAAGCGGAAGATGACATCGTCTAGTCTGGTTAAGTGTCTATGGAGATTTATTTATTTTATTTGGTACTTTAATTCAATTTAATTCAAATAATCAGTGTGTTTGTTACAGCAAAATTAATGGATTTTCTGAAAATATACCTAAGCTGAATAAGCTCTGTGATCCACTTTTTGTACAAAAATTGATGTTGAAAATAAAGGTGATAGCGGAATGCTAAAAATCTTTGTCCCCACACATCCAATGTCAGGCAAAAAGAAAAAGAAAAAAGATATTAACCAAAATTTCGAGCGTTCTAAAAAAGAACAAAAAATATAATATAATAAGCAAAAATACTTTGATATTTCCTCTTAATAATGACATAAATATTTTGACGATAAAACCTTGCTTTATTAAGTATAGAACATTTTTTCTTCTTAATATCTTCATTTTTAGCCAATCTGAGCGGGTAGCTACTTCTCAAAATAAGTTTCCAATTACAATTTTCAAGGTAACATTTTTTGTCTTCAGCTTTAAGGGAAGTTTTGAAATTATAGAAGGTAACATTGATAACATTTTATTTATATCTATTTAAATGATACGTAATTTAATCGAGATTAACGTTTCATTTGCGCTTTTTTTAATTTTTTATTCAAAAATTGGTATTTTTACATGTTGGTATACTTTTAAAATCGGGAAAATTGAAGTAGATATTGGTCGTAGACAAATTCTCTTATTTGTTTTGTGGAGAGAAAACGGAAATAAACAGCAAGACAGTCAAATACCAAATGAAAAAAAAAATTCAGAGTCGGAGGATTTGCTCATCACTCCAGTCAAAAATGAAAGTAGATATTGGTCTTAGACAATTTCGCTTATTTGTTTTGTGGAGAGAAAACAGAAAAAAAGACTGTCAAATTAAAAATAACAACAACAACCGCAAAATGGCTTCCGTGTCGAAGGATTCTTGAAAAGTCAGTAAGTAACTGTAGTTTAGCGATGTACAGCAAAAAAGGAATTCTATACTCATTTTCTCGACTTCTCATCAAGCTACATGACACTTACACTTTCCTTCGCATTGCAACTTCTTCCTCACACAATGCAAGCAAAGAATAACATTACTTTTCATCTTAACAAACAACTGGAAAAAAGGATAGTAAGAATTTTAACACTTATGCACTATAAGAAAAAATACTTACAAAAAGCACAAAATCAAAATGCCTTATATTTTTATTTAATAAGTTTTTATCGCTTTTTTCTTTGTGGTGTCTTGATTCAAAGTTTCTTGTTTGTTTCTAATTTGTGAAGGTACCTATAGAGCGTTATTGAATATATATATATATATATATATATATATATATATATATATATATATATAAAATAAATAATATAAGAAAAATTTAAGTGTAGCTTTATTGCGTCACAAGATCGAAAATACAGGGGCACATAATGAGGATCGAACTCACTACCATTACGCCACTGTATTTGACATAATCGTAATTGTTCTATCGAGACAAGCCTGTTCATCTTTACATCATATTGAGGTGCCCCACATATATGTATATATTTTAACTGGAAATTTGTTCCTGGTTATTAATAAAAAAAAAAAATCCGTTTCCTTGACGTTGCTAAGCTGCTAAGCCATCCGTAATATTTCAAGGAAAAATTTAGCAACATGCATTTAGTTTCACTTTGTGCTTAGATTATATATTGCCGCTGTTCAGCTCGTGTGACATTACGGAAAGACCCTTCGAAGATAAAAATACAGACCGTCGACGCTTTGATCAGAAACAAAAAAAAAGGTTTGCTATTTTTCTACTTGTAACTAACATCCTCAACTTCTA